TGAGGTGCTTTATTCTAAGAACAGGGAAAATTATGGAGCCTTTCAGACAGTACAGAATACTATGGTGAATCCTGCTTTATCCTTTTTCCGGCTTCAACATTATTAGTGCGTGGCCCGTCTTGTTTTGTGTAATCCGTACTCCCCCCCCACCCCGCCCCGAGAAGCTTTAGGTAATTTATTCTTTCATCTATAAGTATTTCTGCGTGTATCTTATATATCTAATATAACTATAATAATATCACACCTAAAACTTGTTAATAATAATTCCTTAATGCCATCCAGGTCTGGTTGGTGTTCACATGTCTGTCTCAAATGTCATTATTAGATTTAGATCAGGACTCAGCCACAGTCCTTTTATTAGCCATCAGGTTTTAAGCAGGGGAGTGAGTGCTGACACCAGGCATAATCTTGAAACTCCCTGGTCTCTCTGGGGGAATGGGTTGGTGAGGGGGTTGTTGGGAGACAAGGAGTAGAGAAACTAATTAGGAGGCTGTTGTGTGTCCAGGAGTGACGTGGGCAGGGTGGATGTGAGATGTCATGTGGACAGGCCAAGCTCAGTTGTCAGGGTTCATCCAGACCTTTGGGTTCTGTTGAGTGTGTGTGTGTTTATTTGAAAGGATTGTTCCCAAGGTTCCTTTGATTTAGGTAGCAACATATTAAGATTAGTGAAATCTTAAAATTTTTACACGGGTAAAATTATAGTGGCTTGATGGAGATAGAGAAACACTGATCCGCACTTCTCTTTAATCAATTTATTCAGCTTTAGTACAGCTCATTTGCCATTGTGTCATCTTGTCTGTGTTGTCATAATTATAGTAGTGATAAGATTACAGAATAGGATAGGAAATTTTATAGTTTTTCACTTAAATGTTATAATCTCTTATGTATGTTATGCCAAAGATCTTTATAACTTCAAAATATTGCATTGAGCAGATTTTAATATTGATTTTGTGACCAGTAGTGTACTGTTAGACGTTTACAACTAGTGGGCTTGTTACTACCTTTCATATTACTATATTATTATTTTTTAAAGATTTATTTATTAGGGAGTGAGCGAGCATGGGGGGAGGGGGAGAGCGGGAGAGAGAGAGAATCTCTAGCAGACTCCCCGCTGAGTGTGGAGCCTGAATCAGGGCTCAGTCTCACGACCCCTAGATCATGACCTGAACTGAAATCAAAAGTTGGGGGGCGCCTGGGTGGCTCATTCGGTTAAGTGTCTGCCTTTGGCTCAGGTCATGTTCCCAGAGTTCTGGGATCGAGTCCTGCATCAGGCTCCCTGCTCAGTGGGAGTCTGCTTCTCCCTCTCCTCCCCGCTTATTCTCTCTCTCGCTATCTCTGTCTCTCTCGCAAATAAATAAATAAAATCTTAAAAAAAAAAAAAGAGTTGGATGCCTGACTGCACCACCCAGGCGCCCCAATACCTTTTAAATTATTTTAAAATACTCTAATGTTGCCAGAATTTTTCTTTACATCTGTATTTTCCCATTTCTTTTTTAAAAATTTGGATTAAGGGGCACCTGAGTGGCTCAGTCGGTTAAGCGTCTGCCTTCGGCTCAGGTCATGATCCCAGGGCCCTGGGATCGAGCCCCGCATCGGGCTTACTGCACAGTGGGGAGTCTGCTTCTCCCTCTCCCTCTGCCTGCCATTCTGACTATCTGTGCTCTCTATCAAATAAATAAATAAAATCTTTAAAAAAAATTTGGATTAAGTAATAACTTATTTGTAGAGATCTTTCTAGAAAAATTTGCTGTCTTAACATGCTCTTAAAAACTAGGGTAATGAGGGGCACCTGGGTGGCTCGGTCATTAAGCGTCGCCTTTGGCTCAGGTCATGATCTCCAGGTCCTGGGATCGAGCCCCGCTCGGCGGGGAGTCTGCTTCTCCCTCTCCCTCTGCCTCTCCCCACTGCTCCTACTCTCTCTCTCTCTCTCTGTATCTCTCTGTCTCAAATGAATAAATTAAAAAAAAAACTAGGGTAATGAAAGTTGAAGGCATAATTGACAAAAACTAAGTACACGTTTGTGCTATAAAAATGGAATGATGTTTTTTCTTGATTACTGGGCTCAGAATATGTGTATTTTGATTTAAGTTTATAGACTTCCTTGTTGAAGGAAGGAACACGTGTATATCTAGTCTGCAGTCTTCATCTTATCCCATTCGCACGGCAGCTGTCATAAGAGCGGTCTCTGCCTTACCTCATTTTTCAGAGATTCCGTGAGTCAGCTCTGGGACGAGAATCGGCTACCATTGCCTCTGCATTGTCGCCCGGGTCCTTATTCACTGGTGAAAATAGCGTCAGGTGGGGACTCATTTAGTGATAGAGAAATAACAATGCTGTATATTCTTCTCCTTTTCTTGTTTTTCAGACATTGAAGTAGAACTTCTGTGTCATCGGCTCAGAATGTTCAGCTTCTTTTACATCTGATGAAGAAATGTCAGACAACCATTGTTTTGTTCTTTGTGTCATTCTTTTAGAACAAACTAGATTAAAGTGAACAGATTAAACTAAAAATTTAAAGGATACATTTAGAGAAGAGTAAGTTTTAAAGACTACATTCAGGTCCTTGGTTTATTTATTCTGCGTTGACTTTTAGTCCCTGATTATTTTCATACTTCGTCTTTGAGTCCTTGAAATAGTGTCACTTTAAGCATACTGTTATTTGTATCATATCTTTAGGTTTCAGAAGAGCAATATCCAAATTGATTTGTCTTAAAAAAGGGGGGGGGGTTTCCTCCAACTGATTCTTTGGCTGTTGGTACCATAAGATATTTTTATATAAACTCTTCTTTAGAGCCTTGCTATTCCCGTTGTGGTCCAAGTTCAGTGACATTGGTGAGACTTGGGAGCTCGTGAGACCTGCACAGTTTCAGGCCTTTGATTTCATCCCTTCTCATCCCTTTGGGGCCATTGTTCCCCGCATTGCAGCTTCTGCCCCAGCCCCTGTCCTCCTCACTATTTACAGTATGGCTTCGAGGTTAAGAACAAAAGCTCTGCCGCCAGATGGCCAGCAATTTGAATCCTAGCCCTGCTGCTTCAAAGCTGACTGACCTGAGCCCCCTCATCTGTCAAGTGAGGAAAACAATAGTGGATCCACACACAGGGATGGCAGAGGATCGGGACACGTGAGAGCCGATGGCTTCTCCCTCCCCTCATCACCATTGTTTCAGCACTCTTGCAGTGTGAACTGCCGGCTGGGGGCTTCCCAGCTTAAAGTCATTATCTTACTCATGTCTCATGATTTTGTGCATCAGGAATGTAGGCACCCTCAGCTGCTCGGCTCTTGTGTTCTTTGTGGCATCCACTGAGGCCGCGTGATGGTTTTCAAGTTTCTTTTTTTTTTCATTGTGATTGTAATGATTAAGTTATAAGAGTTTCTTTATACATTCTGGATGTAGATCTCTTCAAAGATACATGATTTTCAAATATTTCCTCCCATTCTGTAGCTGTCTCTTTACTTATGTGTCCTTTGAAGCACAGACATTTTTAATTTTGAGGAAGTGCAATTTATCTTTTTTTCTTCCTTTTGCTTGTCCTCTTGTGATGTCGTATAGAACTGCCTGACCTGAAGTCTCATAGATTTACTCCTGTGTTTTCTTCTAAGAATTTTATGGATTTTGCTGTTCTGTTTAGGCCTGTGCCCCATTTGGAATGAATTTTTATATGCCAGGTAAGGAAAGGGCACTGATTGCGTTTGAGTTGCTCATTTAATCAACTCTTTAAAATCTCTTCCTTGCTCACCCTGTGTGGCCTGAGGAACTGTTGTTGACTCACCATTACAACTCTGCGTGTGGCTCCTGAGTCTCTCTCACCTTGTCTCTTCATCCTTCCCTTCTTGTTCTTAATTGATTCAAAAAGTGTTTATTTGTATACTGCTAAGGGTGGGGGACTGCCGCAGGTGCTGGTTCTGCTCCTTCTCACTGGGTGTTCCGCTAGCCAGTTTCTCTCCTCTCCGGCCTTAGCTGCTGTCTCTGTGCTGATGACTTCTGAACCAATCCCCTTTCCTTCTCAGTGAGTCTGTGAGCCCAACTTCCCCAAGGTGAGCAGAGTGTCTGATCGCTTTTTATGCCTGGCCCAGTGGCGAGACATAATAGATGCTCAGTAAATACTTCATATATATAGTTAGAGCTGTCAGCAATAGAAATGAAACTCTTTGTATGCTTAGTGAAGGATGCTCTTTAGAGATTTAGTAGTTAAAGATGAATATAATTTAGTATTTGAACATCATTTCAAATAAAAGAGTGGGATTAAAAAGAGTGTAAGTAGCCATAATAACAGACCTTTAAATTTGAGTCATTTGGGCATCTTTTAGGTTAGTCACAAATTAGGACGTGTTGACATTTTCAGTACCTGCTGTTCTTTCAACTGAAAAGATCTGATGAGGAGCATTTCCCGTCTGCATGAATACAGATGTGGGAGCAGCTGCTTTCTTATTGATCTGTTGGAGAATCCTTTGCAAAATCACTACTGACACATTTTTGGGAAAATATCATAAATCAGATTTCTCCAGAAATGAACTGTGTTGCTGTTGGTAGGTCCTGTCTGTGTGGGACAGCATCATGACTTAAACTATCTTGTCAAAATTCAATATCTCGGGGCACCTGGGTGGCTCAGTCGGTTAAGCACCTGCTTTCGGCTCAGGTCATGATCCCGGGGTCCTGGGATCGAGCCCCACATGGGGCTCCCTGCTCAGCGGAGAGCCTGCTTCTCCTTCTGCCTCTGCCACTCCCCCTGCTCGTGTACTCTCTCTCTCTCTCTGACAAATAAATAAAATCTTTTTAAAAATTTCAGTATCTAGTTCTTTTTCAGTTTGACAGAGGACATAAAAGCTTTGTGAGCTTGTTCTCCTATTGTCTGACCAAGAACAATGGCGAGGACGAAAAATGCCATTGGTCAGTAGAAGGGTGGGAGATGGCTGATGAGCCATGTGCCTCCGAGGTCACAAAGAAGCCTCGCATGTCATGGCTCCAACTCAGTCACTCATAATGTTCTCACGCTGAAGATTGTGTTTGTCAGGCTGATGTGCTTGTGATGAAATGCTATTGGACATTGATTCAAACACAAGACTTTCTTGTATTTTGATTCTGTAGGAACCAAGAAAGAGTGTGCAATGAATGGTGACACTCGGGCCGCCGTGGTGACCTCACCACCCCCGACCACAGCCCCTCACAAGGAGCGGTACTTCGACAGGGTGGATGAGAACAATCCAGAGTATTTGCGAGAGAGGAACATGGCACCAGACCTTCGCCAGGACTTCAATATGATGGAGCAGAAGAAGAGGGTGTCCATGATCCTGCAGAGTCCTGTAAGAGAAACCTTCTCTCTGTATAAGGGTCTTCTTCCTTCTCTGATACTTCAGCTCTTAGCTCTGTTGTGTGTGCCAGAGTCCCTGCATTCCCACCTTGGAAGTCTGTGCCTCGTGTGTATGTGCATGGGAATAATTCTGTTCAGTTCAAGTTATCAGGCAGAATAAATGAGAGATCTTCAGTGTCATAAAGGAGAGGAGGTGCTTGCTTCTCCTTTTTACCCTCTCACTACTTCACCAGAGAGTCACTTTATTTTGGGACCCTTTAAAAATAACTCTTCCCTCCAGACCGCCTCGCTTGGTGCCAGGCACTTGGTAGGCCTTAACAGGACCTCATCATTGATTGGTTTTACCTTTAGTGACACCAGCACTTTTTTTTTTTTAAGATTTTATTTATTCATTTGAGAGAGACAGAGAGAGAACATGAGCAGGGGAGAGAGGCAGAGGCAGAGGGAGAAGCACACTTCCTGCTGAGCAGGGAGCGTGACGTGGGGCTCGATCCCAGGACTCTAGGATCACGACCTGAGCTGAAGGCAGACGTCTAACGACTGAGCCACCCAGGTGCCCTGTGACATGAGCACTTTAAGCCACAAGCATGCCCACTGTCTTCTGTTTGCGTCCTTACATAAAGGAGTTCTGTCTCCATCGCTTCCTCATGTTGGTGCTTGCTGCCCTTGTATGTGCTTTATTCTTTTTTTCCCTTCTAATATTGTTTTGTTCCCTTAAAACTTCGGGGTGTCATTTGGCAGATATTCATTGAATTTTTTTATTTT